AGCCCATAATAATTGTTGTAGATATTGGGATAGACTCTCTTATAATTAATTTTTTTTATAATGTTTATCTACATAATTAATTTGTTCACATATGATTTTTTATTTATTTTTTATTTTTTGTATTTATATTTTTTTCTTACAATAAAGTTGAAAAATATAGGAATATTAAATGAGTAATTATAATGCACGTTTCGATCTCGATTTTCAATGAGAAAAAAGGGTCGGACGTACTACAAAATTCGTATAAAATTAAAACTCGATGCACTACTAAAGGGAGTTATTTAAAAAAAAATCTCGTAGCCTTTTATTTCTATATTAGCCGTTCACGGACCAAACATAGTCTAAAATTCGACGTGCGTTGTTTACAATTTAGTTGACATTTTTTTATTTGGTAAAATTTCAATTTTTTTGATGTAAATATTTATTCACTTAAATTAAATTAAAAGTATAATACAAAAAAAAAATTCAAATATGGATCCTTAGATAAGAAAATCTTATTGTTTTATTAATTGGTTCTATTGATTTGTATTTCACTAGATAAATGCCATATTCAAACATTGGGTTTTATTTGGAAGAAATACTTGTGCTTTTGAATCGAGTGATGCTTTTGTAGAAGTTAAAACTTAATCGGGGTAATTTAGTAAAAGTGCCTCGAGTGTCCCTAGCTCGTCTTACCTTATACCCCGCATTTTTTGTTAGTTAGAAGTCTATCGGGATCTATGGGGGGCAAACTGTAAATACTACAAGGTGTGATCGTAAAGACGTAAATAGTGTGGGGGAAAACATGTACTCGAAGTTTAATGTCAGAAGTGCACTGTCAATATTTTGAAAGTTCAATGGCCATTTTTGCGGAAAGTCAATTTATAAGTTTTCGAAAGTTCGATTCGAATTTTGAGCAAAGTTTTAGAAGTTCACTACTAATTACGAGCAATGGTCGGAAGTTCACTATCAATTTTCAGATGTTCACAATACCATATTGTTTGGTGAACATTAAAAAAAACATAATCGTAATAAAAATTGTGAAGTCCTATTAACATGGAAATAAACTAGAAAAATAAGAAAATTATGACCAAAAAGAAATAAACTAATTCTAATAGATCGAACTTGATATTCTAAAGAGTTCGATTTGCGGTATCGGAATCTGAATTTCCGATCGTGCGAAAAGTTATAATGATTTTAAAAATTACTAGAAATAAAAATAAAATGTGTTTTTTATTTTAATGGCTATTTGCCACAAATTTTGCTTATGCAAAATAGAGATAATATGCAAGAAAAACGACAAGTATTCATGTTTTATACGGGTAAACAGTATAAAACCTCCATGTGTTAAGGAAAATCTGCGCCAAATCCCTTGTGTTTTTTTTCTTGCGTAAACCCCCCTTGTGTTTTATTATACTTTGCACGAAATCCCTTTTTTCGTTAAAACTTAACGCCCTTAACTATAGAGGGGGTGTTATGCAATTTTTTTGTAACATATGGGGATTTGGTGCATAATTTTGCAAAACAAGGGGGTCTATGCAAATTAGTTTATTCATTTAAAATTCAAATTATTGTCTTAAATTATGTCGAATATATCTATTAATTTAAAATATGAAAACTAAGAAAATATTACTCAAGATTGAAGTTGGAACGAATTTTCAAATTATTTATGTTCTTTTCACATATAATTAATCAATAATAAATTATAAACATATATAATAATTCTCATAAAATAACTATATAATTTAAAACATCAAAATTCATACATTAATAAATTATATCATATAAAAATTGATTTTTTTTATAAAATTTTTATTTTTGATATTGTAATTGAATAAATGTGTTCAATTTAATTTCAGAAAATAATATGAAATTTAAACAAATAAATTATTTTTTGCATAAAACCCCCTTGTATTGTAGAGAATATGCATTAAATCCCCCTATGTTACAAAAAACTTGCATAAAACCCCATCTATAATTAACGGTGTTAACTTTTAACGGAAAAGGGGATTTCGTACAAAGTAAAATAAAACACAAGGGGGTTTTACGCAAGACAAAAAAAAAACACAGAGGGATTTGGCGCATGTTTTTAACACAGTGGGGTTTTATGCTGTTTACCCTGTTTTATACAGACGTAAAGTTTACAATATTTTTGTACGCGGTGAATATTTAATCACTTCATTATTATCAATATATAATGTAGCTTTTATATATATATATATATATATATATATATATATATATATATATATATATATATATTTAATATAGTAATATAAATAAATAAACTCCCCCTAAAAAAGTCAAATATGTCCCAACTAAATATAAAATACATTTTCTATCAAACACTTTTATTGAAAAACCCTAGTTTTAATTCTCATTGTCCAAACAACGCTTTCTAAAAAAATCCCAATTGATATTTTTTAGTGGACAACCACCCTAATTTCATCTCATTTCCCTGTTATTTTTCTTATTTTTTTCCTCCCTCATATAACACACACAAATTGCACACGCCCTTTTTTTTTTTCACTCTCCAATTATCTAAGATGCACACACATTATATAAAAAAAAAATAGCTATAAAAGTTACAAACGTGGCGCGTCGGAACGGTCATAACGGAACGGGAACAACCCTCTTCGTTTTCGTTGCCGTAACAAAATTGTTTTGGGGCAAAAAACATTTGGAAACGGGCAAAAAGTGGACGGTATGTCGGGACAGTGCGAAAGCTCGGATGCACCCAACTAACACGTCTATCTCAGTGTGAGTGGCGTGCGATGTCTCATCTAAGTTACCTCTCCCGCTCTCCAGGGGTGTAAAAAGATGTCACACTAGTGTTATAATTTTTAATTAAAGTTTTCAAAAAATTACAATTATCTCCGATATTTTAAACATAGTTTGATTTGAGGCAAATTAAAAAAATTTAAGATCCCAAAATTTGCAATCCGGTCATAATTAATTTTTATTTCTGTTAAAGTAAAAACGTATTTTCATAACTTACAATTTCAATAAAAATATTGCCTTTTAAACTATTTATTACAATTAGGGAAAATTACGGACATTCCCCTAAACTATGGTCAAATTACGAAAAATCCCATCTTGTTTGAATAATTACAGCTACCCCCTTCTTTTAAATTTTTGGGTAAATCACACCTACACCCCTGAGATATGCTGAAATAACTTTAAGGTTCCTATGGTATTGATAATTACAATCACCCCCTGAACATTGTTAGAAACTCTAACGGATAATGCATTGGATACATTATTGCAATAAAATTCTAACAGACTATTAGTTTCAGAAAGTGGTGGAGACAACATAAAATTATGGATGATTTAAGAAATATTGGGGAAGCCATGTCACCACCTAGCTCGATGTTGTCCCTACCACTTCCTGAAACTAATAGTTCGTTAGAAATCTATCGGAATCACGTATCTAATGCATTATCCTGTTACAGTTTCTAACGATGTTTCAAGGGGTGATTGTAATTACCTATACCATAGGGACCTTAAAATTATTTTAGCGTACCTTAGGGGTGTTGTTGGTGGTAATACCTACATGCAAGTGCACGTATCATACAAGTAATATAGTGGACAATTAAGTCCGGATATCGAACCCCCATGGAATATTTAATTATTTAATCATATACGCTAAATTCTACCAATTATTATCAAGCCCACCCTACATAGTCGACTTTAGAGAGAATTAACTAAATTAAAATAAATTAAAAAGAAAATTAAAAAGACAAGAGCACGAAAGCAATTAAAAACGAATGATTAATCAGAGTAAACAAGTCTAGGATTTTATTCTTCCCCCTATGTGATTATTACTCCCTCAATTCCTTCAATTATGCAAGCAATTAATCCGGATTATTAACATGAGATGCTAAAATAATCATAACCCGCTTCCGCGTGTATTACGATTCTTATACTCTAGATTCAATTACTATATTCCTATGCAATTAATTCTAGAACACAACATTTAGCACAAATCTCAATAATGGCTACCTAAGAGATTAACTATATTCCATGTTAATACCACAAAGGCTTTTCTACCACTGTTATAATTATTAATCCGATCTTCCGATTCATGTGATTAACAATAACATAAAAGCAAATAAGATGATCAAGTTCATGCACTTAATAAAACAAGTAGAAGAAATAATCCGGTATTAAAACTTGCATAAAATCATAGCAAAAGGGTTCATGAATCCCACATAGGATTCAAAATAAAAATCCTAGAAAAAAAAAATTAGCTACTCATGATTAAAGGAAAAACGCAAATAAAATTAATCATAAACGATAAATCTATGCTTGGAGTCTTCGAATTCTTCGTCTTCGTTATTGCTTTGTTGCTCTTGAAATTGCGTAAGGAGATCCCCAATTGTGTGCTTGGCTTGATCTTATATAGGGTGAAAAACTTAGGGAAAGAAGGCAGTTTCCTTGTGCAATTAAAATCCCTTTACTGCACTGCCACGTGGTCTCGGACGGCCGTCCCACAATTTGAACTAAAACTCGGACGACCGTCCGAGCTTTAAATCTTCATATTTTGGTTTTTTCACTTTTGGCCCATATTTTCTCCAAAATTACAAATTTTAACCCATACTTTTCTAATTCTCTAAAATACAATAAATCAACTTTTTAAGCACCAATTATCATTAAAACACATCAAAAGCTCAAATAAAAAGGTATGATAAAGTGTAAAAATATACACTTAACAGGTGTAGGTGTAATTTACCTAATATTTGTACATAAAATTTATGTAATTTGGTTATTTACCGAACTAAATCGTAAATTAAGTTTGGTAAACAGTATGAAATGTTGGCGTACTGAAATTTTGGTTCGGATTTACCGATTTAACGTCCCTAAATTTACCTCTGGAGGGGTATTTCGTAAAATAATACATAATTAAGGGAGTGACTGTAATTACCCAAACATGAGGGGAGTTTTCGTAATTTGGCCTTCCAATTAAAGGCCCAAAAGAAAAGAAAAAACAATTGAAGAAAGCCCAATATCAATAGGCAGAATTTGAGTCAACATTTCATTTGTATTCTGTATTTTTTGACCGACGGCGTACGATAGCCTGCCTCCGCCATGGATATGCCTGAATCACCACCACCACCACCAGAAAACTCTTCGCCGATCTCCACCGCCACCGCCGCCGCCGATATGGTGGACGACGACCCACTCTCGAGCCCGTACGCGTCTCTAAACTCCCACTGCCACGAACTCTCCACCCTGCAGGACCTCGCCTGCCGCGGCGCGTGGCAAACCATCCTCGACAAGGTGGCGCGTTCTCGCTCACTCTCCCTCCTCACCAAACCGCACGAGCACCTCATCTACCTCACCTTCAACCTCCTCTCCCTCGTCAAGCTCCGCCGCTACTCCGACGCCCAATCCGAGGCCCAAACCCTAGACGAAGATCTCGAATCCGATCAGTACCTATACGAATCGTACCCGGATCATTACCCGACCCGAAAACCCGGATCCATGATCCCTTTCGCCCTGCGTTGGTTGCACGCCCACTTACCCTTTACCCTAGGCGACCGTCAATTATCCCTCGATCGCCTCTACTCCCTCCTACATTTCATCCGCAGCAAAAGGCTTTCGCAAAATCAAGAATCGATCGGCGAAACCTCGCTAACACTCTGGAAAAAGCGCGATTCTTTCGTAGTGAACACGATCGTAAGCCACCATTTGAGCCAGAAGGAATTCAAGGTGTGCTTGTCTCTGCTGAAATCCGAAATCGCCAAAAACGACGACCCTTTGCTCCTGTCGAAATTGGGCTACGTCGAAATGCAGTACGGCGATCTCGACAGGGCGAGGCGTAATTTCGAGGCGGTGGAGAAATCGATTGTGGGTAGTGAGAATATGAAAAATGATGTGGGGTTGAAGAATCTTGTGAGTAGGAACAAGGCGTTGATGTTCTTGGTGGCGAAGGATTACGTGTCGGCCGTACGAGAGTACGACGAGTGTATCGATAGAGATGGATCGGATGTTGTGGCGATTAATAATAAAGCGATTTGTTTGATGTACTTGAGGGATTTGTCGGATTCGATTAAGGTTTTGGAGAACGCGTTGGAGAGGGTTCCTACGATGGCGTTGAACGAGACCCTCGTGGTGAATTTGTGCAGTATGTACGAGCTGGCGTACGTGAACCATGCCGATGTGAAGAAGACGCTTAGCACTTGGATCGCCAGGGTGGCGCCCGACGATTTCGATACTTCGTGTACGAGGATTTGAGGTACACATGTTCTTTCTTGTTGTAAGGAAATAAAAAATGGAGTCTTTGAGCTGAAATTATTCGATGATTATTTTGTTTCTTGAGGTGATTTTGTTTGTTGTTTCGTTGTTCTGTTTCGATAACGGGATTGGTCGGTGTTTTTCCCGAGAAAAAGTACAATTTAGTTGTCGAAATGTTTTTTCGCAAGATATGATACGACAGTATACTATGTAAAGGATTATTTATGGTGTGGAAAATTTTCTCCGAGAAAATCGTCGTTGTTCAATGTCCGTTCGGTTTCGATGCTTATGATTAACTTCAATTTTTTTTTTAATTTTATCAAATTTGCATTTGTGTCCTATGTTATCCAATTATGGCGTCGCTCGCTCCTTTACATACGACTTTTGTTGAAGAAACTAATGTATCGAGTTTTGGTATTACCGCTATACTGTGTCGAGTTTTCGGGATATATCCCGATCAGGGTTAAAGTTGTTGAGGTTAAGCGTAACTTTGGCATACGGTAAAAGAAATAAACTTGATAATGCCCCGTGTTTTTGAATAGTCGTTTTGCTGCATTCAATATGTGACTTACGTGTAGTTCAGAAACGGAGAATTCTGTGAAGCGCAGACTGGGAAATATTGTTCGTACGTTTTATGCAAGTTTTAAGTTTATTGTCACAACGTGCTTAGAAGAATTGTTTGCGAATACGTTTCAAAAGTCGAAATATGATAAATCGATTGAACTGAGGCATCCTCGTCGTGTGCAGGATAGAATTATCGAACTTTGTATAAATCGATGCCTATAATATCTGCTTCTGAATTATATATTGGGGGTTCAACGTATTATTCTTATATATGTATATATTTTTACGAAAGAACTCAGCCGTAGATGTGTTGTGGTTAAATTTTATTCTCATGTAATAGTTTGTAAATCAGACAAGTTCGATCTAGAAAATATTGGCAGGGAGAATCGAACTGGATTGTCAGGGCGTCGGCGCCAAACATAAACACAATATTGTTATTATTACTTAAACATTTTAGATTTAAAAACATGATCTTTCTCGCCGAGAACACTACTACATTATTGTCATGTCAAGGGTGGAAATCAGACGTACCGGATGAAAAATCCCGTTTTAAAAAGAAATTGAAAATCAAAAGTAAAAAAAGAAAATCAGAAGAAATTAGAACTAAAAAAAAAAAAAAATCGAACCGGAATTCAAATTTTTGTTTCTTATGTTCACATATAAGTTAAGATACGTAATTGGTAATACTACTAAAAGGGTGTTTGACTAAACTTCTAAAATGTTAAAAGGAGCTTATAAGATGTTTTTAGAGTTCATAGCTTCTTTTATAGCGTTTCAAATTTAAAAAAGAAAATCTTAATTTTGTTTTTAAATAAGCTCTTTGAGAGCAAATAAAATCTTTTTAAAAGAGTACATCTAATGTAAAATCTTATAATGAGTAAAAATAGAAAATTAGTTCATTATCTAAACCGTCGAAAAAATAATCTTAAAAATAAGACGTAACAGCTTATCAGCTCTAAAAACATCTTATCGAACGTAAGAGCTTTTCAGCCGTTTATAATAAGGTTAGGCAAACACCATCTAAGTTTCGGAATTTGAAAATTAGAGATTCATTTAATTCCAAGTAAAGAAATGCAAATTTCAAAAATTAAACTTTCGAAACTCGGAATGAAACCATTGTTCCAAAATCGAAAATTTTTATATCCGAAATCGGCAGAATTCAAAAGTTTATTGCAATCCCCATCCCTAGTCATCGTCAAACCAATGGTAGGGGATAATCATTTTCAATTATAGATTTCTTTTTTTTTTTTTTTTTTTCTTTGTTTTTTTAAACATGGCGAAATTTGTCTAAAAATGCATTGATCCACCAACCCTTACCTAATATACCAACAACCTCAGCCAACTCTTTCTTCCCACCAACCCTTAATTTTAAAAACAAATTCTTACTATTTTTTCACATTCAAATCCAATTTCAAGAATCATTACACTTCTCAATCCCACCAAACTCTCTGTCGGAAAAAAAAAAAAATGGCAGCGGCGACCTCGTATTCAATCCAGCCCAAATCAATCTCCGCACAGATTACTCATCTTCAACATCAATCTAATTCACAGAGTTCTGTTACATCACTCTCTTTCTCCTCTCAATTGGAGCCTGTTTCTATCAAGTAAGATCCTTTAATTTTCCCCCCCTTTTTTTCAAATGGGCTTTCTCTAATTTATCGAATTGGGTGAAATTGGCTGTGATTTTTTGCAAATTCGCGATGTTAGATTAATGGGTTTTGCGGCAATTTTAGCATTTTTGATTTTTTTTTGATGTAGAATTTGAATTGGAAGTAAAAAAATTGAGTTCATGTGTGTTTTTGTTTTCTGTACAGATCATTGTCTGCAGCAAGACAACTTCATTTGCAGAGAGTTGGTGCAGTTGTAAGAGCAGAGGTCAACTCGGGAGCAATGGAGGTTGATATCTCACTAAGCCCGCGAGTCAACTCGGTCAAGCCTTCGAAAACGGTGGCTATCACTGACCAGGCTACTGCACTCGTGCAAGCCGGTGTGCCCGTTATTCGATTAGCAGCTGGAGAGCCTGATTTCGATACACCCGCAGCAATTGCCGAGGTAATTCTTGATTGCTCGAAAATCGAATCTTTATTTATTTTTTTAATTCTTTAAATGTATGAAATAATTGTGATCATTCGAACTCGTTTAGGCTGGAGCTAATGCAATCCGGGAAGGATATACGAGGTATACCCCTAATGCAGGCACGTTGGAACTCCGTTCGGCTATTTGTCACAAGCTAAAAGGTGAATTTTACGACACTTGTTGCGTTGTATTGCTTAAAGAACAAAAAAAATATTTATTAATTTTTTTTATATATAATTAGAGGAAAACGGAATATCTTACACACCCGATCAGATTCTGGTGAGCAACGGGGCGAAACAAAGTATCGTTCAGGCAGTTCTCGCAGTTTGCTCACCGGGAGACGAGGTAATACTTTTTTAACTTTTATTAAGTTGTCGGCTTTGTTTTTTCACATGTCGAATTAGTAATTGTTTTGAGTAAATATATTTATCCGTACAGTCAGGTTTTTATCGGCTCCGTTTAATAACCAAATGTTAATGAGACAAGGATTGTATAATCGCAAATCTTGAACTAGGATAATATAATCCCGACCGATTTTGCTTTTGCAGGTGATAATTCCAGCTCCGTTTTGGGTGAGCTACCCAGAAATGGCAAGATTAGCCGATGCGACACCTGTAATTATTCCCACGAGCATATCCGATAATTTTCTTTTAGACCCAAAAGTTCTCGAGTCGAAGTTGACCGAAAAGTCAAGGCTGTTGATTCTGTGCTCTCCTTCGAACCCAACAGGGTCCGTTTATCCTCGTAAATTGCTTGAAGAAATTGCTGAGATTGTCGCGAGGCACCCTAGGCTTCTAGTAAGCTCTTCAATCTCCACCTATATATATATCAAGAATATATAGTTATATTTTTCTAGTTCTCAAAAAAAAAAAAACTTTTTTTTTCTTTTTCGCAGGTGATGTCTGATGAAATTTACGAACATATAATTTATGCGCCGGCGACTCACACGAGCTTTGCGTCTTTGCCGGGCATGTGGGATAGAACTTTGACTGTAAATGGCTTCTCAAAGGTGAAAAAAGACTTGATTTTTATTTATTTTTCCCTAAAAGAATTAGTCTACGGTAACCCAATTTTTTTATTTTTTTTTATTTTCTTAAGCTGAAAGAATGTTTTACGTGTAACTTGATCAGGCTTTTGCGATGACCGGTTGGAGACTTGGTTATATTGCTGGACCGAAACACTTTGTTGCTGCATGTGGGAAGATCCAAAGTCAGGTACGTGTACTAATCTAGTGCTCGTTTTCTAAATTTTTTATGTGGATTTTTCATTTTTTTTATTGAATTTATCCTCTTCTTCGATATTCGTTCATATATGTTCATTAAATATTTAATTGTTAATATGCACAATGAAGCAATTATTTATAAGGTCAATTATTCCGAATTCATATTTTTTTGTTTGTGTATGCGCTTACTTCAAATCTGAAATGTGTGGCGGTTTTAAATAATTTTTGAAATATGTACCCGAATAAATTTGCGCTAATTTGCATATGGAGGTCCGTTCTAATGTATTGGGAAAAAGAAAATCGCAGTTGGATTCTTTATACATTTTACATAATCCTATGATGTAATAAAGAAAAAAAAAACAAATATGTAATTAGTTATGTCTTCATAAATAAGCAAGTTTCAATTTTTTTTTTTTTTTCGTTTGGGTACAGACGACTTCGGGAGCAAGCAGTATATCTCAGAAAGGTGGTGTTGCTGCTTTAGGGTTGGGATATGCTGGTGGAGAAGCAGTCTCGGTTATGGTTAAAGCTTTTCGTGAGAGACGAGATTTTCTTGTTAAAAGCTTCGGCGAATTGGATGGTGTCAAGATTTCCGAGCCTCAGGCAAGGATTTATTTAATTTATTTTATTTTACTTATAAAGTATTTGCTAAAACCTATTTAATTAGGCTGATATCGGAATTTTTTTCGGCATTTTATTTGCAGGGAGCTTTCTATCTTTTTCTTGATTTCAGTTCTTACTATGGCTCAAAAATTGATGGCTTTGGTGTAATCGACGGTTCCGAGTCCCTATGCCGGTATTTGCTCGACGAAGCTCAAGTAAGAAAACAGCTTGTTTTACCAAAAAAAAAAAAAGATTTTCATTGGTTACAAATTAAATTATACATTTACACGTAGCTCCCCCGATATTAAGTGTACGAGTTTATTGCATTTAGCACCCTTGTGTTATATCAAATTGCTAAAAAAATTCACCCCCAACAAAGAAAGATTTTATTTTTCTTTTTTGTTTTATTTAGTTCATAATTTTAGAGGACTAATTGTGCAAAAAGACTTCCGATTTTTTCAGTTCATGGTTATTGTGACAAGAGTTTTATTATTACAAGCGAAAAAACGTGTGATATTTATTGTTATTGGTGAAAAAATTACGCAGGTTGCCCTTGTTCCGGGAGATGCATTTGGAGACGATACATGTATTAGAATATCGTACGCAGCATCATTGGCCACTTTGAAGGCTGCCGTAGAAAAAATCAAAGGGGCACTCTTATCCCTCAAGCCTGCGGTTCTTGCTTAGTTTTTAGTCTCGTAAATTTATTACATCTGCAGAATTTGTCGAATAAATTACGATTTTGTTTGTTTGTTTGCTTTGTTTTAAATTAGCTTGTGTTGTAAACTATGTAACATATATAGCCAAATGCAATGGCTGTGTTTGATTTGTGTTATGTCGAAAAATAAAATTACCTGCGTTGAGAGGATTCGAATAGTGGAATTTCATGAACAATTCATTTTCTTTTTTGGGTAAATTACGAAACCCCCCTACACTTAGGCTAAATTATGAAAAGCTCCCCCACCTATAAGTGATTACCAAAATCCCATCAATGTTTGTTTCTGTCTTACACCAACCCACCTATTGTGTTGTAATTACTAATAGGTGGGGGAGTTTTTTGTAATTTAGCTAAGTTAAGGGATTTTCGTAATTTCCCCGCTTTTTTTTTTTTCTCTTGAATTCATATACCACAATATTGTCATGTATGTAATGGTATTTCGTGTCATACAACACTACAGGGAACACAATAATCAAGTCTCCATTGTGTTTAATTCAAGTTAATTTAATTAATAAACCATGCTTATTACTAATTGAATATATAATAGGGAAAATTATGAAAAAACACCTTAGGTAAAACCTAATTACAAAAGTCCCCTTCATGTTTGCATAATTACAAAAATCCCTCTTTGACCGTTTAAATTCACAGAAAATGTATTATGTAGGTTAAAAAACTTGTGTCGTATCATAATATAAATATTCATCATATATGGTAAATTGACATTTCATCACATATTTCACGTTACGATAGTATATATCTTTTATAGTATAAAATTAGCATTTTTTGGCAAATAATTTTAAAAAGTAAATCAAAATCAAAATTTGAAATGAAAAATATTGTTCCAAAGTTAGAATTTTTCAGATCAAAAACGACGGAAATAAAATATATCATTTTTTTATTCACATATAATAAATAAATAACAATATTAGTATTGTGAGGTAATTTGAGATTCTTTTTAATTTTTTTGGAATTTGTTGCGGAAATCTGAATCTTATATAAATTTCAATTCCAATTGAAATGAACGAAACTATAACTTAAACCGAAACTGGCGAAATATTCAGATCGAAACCGATAGACAAAATTCAAATAATTATATTACATAAAAAAAAAAAAGATAGAATATTGGAATCTTCTTGAGAAGATTCTTTCTATTCATATTTCCTTACAAAATGGATTTCTGTGAACCTAGGACTAGGCCCTCATCAAGAAGCTAAGGACAAGTTTGTACAAACACGTAAACCAAAACCTAACTTGAATTACAATACAATCAATCTCCATTGTTCATCAAGAATATTCTTTGTGTCACACTTCATGCAGCCAATCAATCAATTCTTCATTTATAATAATCCCCCCTTCTTCTTCTTCCCACAAACAAAAATCATACAAACAAATTAAATTAAACCATCACCATCAATCACCAAAAGAAAAAAAAGAAAAGAAAAAAGATGCCTGCTACGTGTTCGACGAATGTCCCAGCTGAAATCGTGTTCTTCGATTTGGAAACAACAGTGCCCAACAAAGCCGGACAAAGATTCCACGTCCTCGAATTCGGCGCGATTGTTGTCTGCCCGAGGAAACTCGAGGAGCTGGAAAGCTTCTGCACCCTCATCAGGCCCGGCGACTTATCGGCGGTGGGCCTGAAATCTGGCCGGACCGACGGAATTACCCGGCCGGCGGTGGCGGAGGCGCCGCTTTTCCGGGAAGTAGCCGACAGGATATTCAAGATTCTTGATGGAAGAATATGGGCAGGGCACAATATTCAGAGATTCGATTGTGTTAGGATTAAGGAATCTTTTGCTGACATCAACATGCCGGCTCCGGTCCCGATCGGGATTATTGATTCTTTGGGAGTTCTGACAGAGAAATTCGGCAGGAGAGCGGGAAATATGAAGGTTTGTGTCGATGCATGTATTCGTACGACGTAGATTTTTGCAAATGTTGATTTTCGATTTTTTGTTTTTTCTAATTTTTTTTTGTTTATTTTTCTTCGTAAAGATGGCGACGCTGGCGTCGTATTTTGGGCTTGGCCAGCAGAAGCACAGGTATGAATATGATGATCAATAATTATTGGAAAAAATAATAGTGATTTATGAATTTATGGGTGGAAAAATCGGACCGGATCGTATAGGAATCAACACTTACGAAAAATTCAAATTTTTGTTTCGGGAGTTTAAAACTAATTCCAATGCCGTTCCAATAAAAATCGGAAAGAAAAAATGTGTTCCATAATCGGAAATTTTGGAATCGAAATCGGCGGAATTCAGAATTCTTTTTTATTGAACTTAAATAGAGAAATTGTATGGAAAAATTATAGTTTTTATTCCTCAAGTTTGCACCAATTTCACATTTGGTCCCTCATGTTTACATAAAACACATTTGGTCCCTTATGTTCCAATAATTTAACAATTTTAATCATTTCCGTTAATTTACCGTTAGTCCGTTAGTTGAGGCAGTGATGGGCACATGCTTGATTCCTTTAGTTTTAACGTAAAATTGACGGAAATGACTAAAAATGTTGAAGTTTTGATACATAAGAGACCAAATGTGTTTTTTGTGAACGTGTTTTCCTGAAATTATATACTGACATTGAACTTAAATAGAAATTTCTAATATATATTCCAATTCCTTTCCAAAAAAACCCGGAAAAATCGGTAATTGAAAAATTCGGAATGACATATATTGTTCCGAAATTGGAAATTTTCAAATCAGATTCGGCGAAAATCGGAAATTATGTTCCGATTTCCACCTCTAGGAGAATATGCTGACATGTTTTTATGATGTTTTTTAAGGAGCTTGGAGGATGTTAGAATGAACTTGGAAGTGTTGAAGCATTGCGCCACCGTGTTATTTTTGGTACCGTCGGAAATTTGTCTTTTTATTTCGTTATATATATTTTCTTGAAAATAATCATTTAATTTGAAAAAAAAATATAATTCTAATATGATTTTATTTTCCTAACTAATTGTTGTAACAAGATCATTAGTTACAAATTTGGCCTTGATTTAATATCTAGGAATCAAGCCTTCCTCCTAATGCAATGAATGGAAAATGGCAAAGCATCCCCAATGTTACAACAAGAAGCAGAAGCTTATTGGTAATAACACCAATTAATGGCTGCCACGTGTACATTTTTTTTTTTTTTTTTTTATAATTTTTTGACTTGAAACAAGAATTTGAAAATATATTTGCAGCAATCAGAAAACAGAGGGAAATCGATATGCCGGGAAGAAATGACGAGCCGAAAATCGCCTCCTTCGACTTCTGCAGCAAATCAGAGGGCAGTCCCTTATGCTAAAGAAAGTATTGGAAAGGTTTGTTTGTACAGTAGAACCTGATAAATTAATACTTAATAAATTAATAACCTCGCTTAAATAATAATTTTTTCCAGTCCCGAGTTGGTAAAAATGTATTAAATTATTAACTCGATATTTTAATATTTCGCTAAATTAATAGAATTTTGCTAGTCCCGACTGTATTAATTTATAGAGGTTTAACTGTATATACCAATTTTTATTAATCATTTGTTGAGAGTTTTTAATAAGTAATTATTGATCTGTAATGTGAACAGATGACAGCTAGGGTGAAAAATGTAATTTGCAACGGCAATTTGTTGAAGCATACTCGGTCACTTATTCGATGATAAAAAAAAGTCGTCGAAGAGAAAGAAAATCGAGCCATTTCTTCACGAAAGCAAAAGCTCGAGATATTCCGAAATTTGGCTGCTTCATTTAGCTATGTGGCAGAGGCTTAAAAAGAAGATAGCTAGATAACAATGTTTATAATTTATATATAGTTATATATTTTCTTATTTCGTAGCTTCCCATTCATTAATTAATTTAATTCATTCATTTAATATATTGTGTAATTGAAGATGGCCTTTGAATTTATTTGTTTGGCTTTTCCTCCTTGGCACTCTTTTCAATTGGTGGTGACAAGAAATTGGTTGTTTTTCTTAATACAATTAGAATTAAATAAAATAAAATTAATAATATATAATTCAAAACTGTTAATTTCGGTCTAATCCATATACCCAATTTTCGTCCCTTAGAGGAGAATTGGGAAACGAGTAACTGTCCTTCCACTCAAAACAAAAACAAAAAAAATATTGTCATTGGAAAATAGTATTCCATATTTTGTATCGGGTCGGGTCCTCGTGTCTACACAAGAATTATAGTTACGATATTTATTGCCGTAACAAGTAAATATAACTATATAAGATTGATTTATATACCTTTTTTTTTTTTGATTAAATTCAAGTCCATTACAAGGGGAAGTAGGGGAGGGAGGGACTCGAACACTAGACCGTTACCCTATTAGTAAAGGTTAGGTACCAACTCTCCTAATGAGGGTTGTTTCTATACTTATATAAATCAACAATATATGGAGTATGGACTATATATGGAGTAGTTTAAAGATAGGTGTTTATGGTGGAGCAAGGGGCATGTGTTAATTATTGATGCAGGTTTCGAATCTCCTTGACAGTGGTCAATAGGTTGAACTTGTCACATGGTTAGCCTAGGTTGATATACGTTTCTCGTATAATTAGTAAATTATTATATGAGAGTGCAGGTTAACCCGATGCAGCTACATAGTTATTGCAGATTTTATTTTTAATAAGTGTTTATGGTGGAACGCACCTTAGTCAAATATGGTAGGCTAAAATCATATTTTAAAATTGGTGTTTATGACTTGTGAGAGTGTGTGTATATATATATATATATATGTATATGGCTAAAATAATATTTTAAAATTGGTGTTTATGACTTG